AGGGGAGGCTCCGCCCCGGCTGGTGTGGCTCAGGGGCTAGAGCGTCGGCCTGGGGACCGAAGGGTCCTGGGTTCGATTCCGGTCAAGGGCCCTGATCGGAGAACATGCAGGAGGCAACCAATCGGTGTGTTTCTCTCACGTCGATGCTGCTCTGTCTTTCTCTCTCTCTTCCACTCTCTCTGAAAAATCAATGGAAAAGTATCTTCGGGTGAGGATTAAAAAAAAAAAAGGCGGCTCAACCTAGACCAGGGGCGGGCAACCCCTGGCACTCGTGCCAAACATGGCACGCCGGTAACTTTTGCTGGCACGCGAAACCCTCTCTTATAATCTTCCATTTACAATTTTTTTCTTAATATCGACTTTTTTATTTTTCAGATCAATTCAGTGTAAGTGCATCTTAGATAAATAAATAATTTTACATAACATGTATACATTAAAAAAATAAATGTATTTTTCATCATCGTATTCTGTGTTTTTGTCGCTCGAATGAATTTTATTATTTCTTCAAGGTTCTTCACATGCGTACACCTTAAGAGATATCAGGTAGGCGTAACATGTTCTCAAAAAATTAGGGTTGGCACGCAGGAGAATTTTGAGTCAGAGATTTTGCTGGTTTTGGCGCGCACTCACACAAAGGTTGCCCACCCCTGACCTAGACTTAAGGCTGCAGAGGACGTGCAGGGAAGGCTCAGAAGGTCGCAGTGCCCCCAGGGATGGCACGCCCACACCCGCGGGATGAACAGCAGGTCCCACCGAGACCAGGCCAAGGCGATCGCCACCTGCCCCGAGGGACAGAGCGCTTCCGGTGACCTGCTCTGAGGCCCCTGCCCTTCCCCGGGGAGGGCGACCACGGGCACCCCCTCCACCCTACCTGGCCTTACCCCAGCTCTGCCTCCACATGAACTCCAGGCTGTGGGTGGCAGCGAAGTGCTTCTTGATGGCATAGTGCACCCTCTGAATGAGCATGCTGGTCAGGTTGGCACGGCGCAGCAGGTAAGCCATGGTGGGGCTGTGTCCGAAGGGGTCCACGGCCCAGCCCGAGCGCGGGGTCACACCTGGGCAGGGGAACGGAAGCCAGAGCCCTGAACACCCCACGCCGGGCCTCCCGGGACGGTCCCGCTCCAGCTCCCTTCCTGCCATCACACCGGGCCCCCCCGGACGGGGGAAGTAGCACACAACGGTACCACCATCCGCCAACCCTGCACCCGACAGCCCCCAGCTGCCCGCTGGGCCCAGCTCTGGGGCAGACGCCCTCTCCTGAGCCTGCCTCACCGAGATTCTTCTCCAGCCACTGGTGTCCCTCGATGAGCTGGTCGATCAGTGCAAAGTAATGGGAGTTAGCCTCGTCGGGCATCACCCAGCCGCCGGTGGCCATCTCCAGCTGCCCGCTGCCCACCAGCCTGCAGTGAAGGACTCACACTCAGCGTGGGGGCAGGGGGGGGGGCACCTGCCCAGTTGTGCCGAACAGAAGACACTGGGACCCGGGCGCATGGCCTCACTGGGTCAGCTCACGCGAACCTGGGACCAAGGGGACGGACACGGGCTCTCCTTTCCCGCCAGCCCACTTCCCTGCTGTCCTGGTCCTGCTGACCTGCGGACGCCACCTGAGCGTCCAGGGGCCTGGCTCCTGGCTTTTTCTTTCTTTTTTTTTTTTTTTAATATATTTTATTGATATTTTTACAGAGAGGAAGGGAGAGGGATAGAGAGTCAGAAACATCGCCCTAACCGGTTTGGCTCAGTGGATAGAGCTTCGGCCTGCGGACTGAAAGGTCCCAGGTTCGATTCCGGTCAAGGGCATGTACCTGGGTTGCGGGCACATCCCCAGTAGGGTGTGTGCAGGAGGCAGCTGATCGATGTTTCTCTCTCATCAATGTTTCTAACTCTCTATCTCTCTCCCTTTCTCTCTGTAAAAAATCAATAAATTTAAAAAAAAAAAAAAAGAAACATC